CGATGTAAACGCAGGCTTGCAAAACGCGTAAACCGATGCGAGCGTGAGCGAAACAAAGCCGCGACGGGCGTGATTTCTACGAGAACTTTTTGAGAATGTTCATTTACCCGAGGTAGGTTCGACACGCTTGACAGTCGTGCTTCTCCTATTAATCGAGAGAGAACGAAACAAAACGCTTGCCTACCTGTCTGGTAATTTATTTACCAAACGTTTCATTTGTATGATGATATAAAGAAAAAAAAGGTATCGATCGTAGAACGAGTTTAGCGTAGATAGGTTTCGTACTTCGTATTTAATGAACATTATTAAATCATTATATATCCAGTATCACATGTATTGGAGCTGAAGATGACAATGGAAATAAATAATTGTATCCGGAGCGCTGGCTTTTCCGTCACCTTTGAAATCTCCCTTATCGTAAGCCTTGATGAAGAAAACTGTTGGAAGTTATAAGAGACGGGACTCTTTTGAAAAAATATGGTACTCTAACTAGGTCTATTTTGAATCACTCGAGTGATTTAGATTCTATATTTTGAAAAATTAATCCTTTCTATGTAACTTTGTATTGTTTAAATCGTTTTTTGTGTGTTCGATTTCCTTCTTTCTCTTTCACTGGATCTTCTACGCTTTTCTCATTGAACATTCATGAAGACTTATTTGGAAATCGGAGAATTTAATAAATTATAATAATTCATTTTATCGAGTACAACTAAGAGTGAAAAATGTCGCACGTTTAATAGCAAGAAAATGAAAAACTCTTCTAACAAAGTACATAAGAAGAAACTAAATGTTGAGCGTTCCTTCCCTTTGTTCGACGACGCCTACTTTTCGTTCTTTTTTTTCAATTTACATTTTGTAAAACATCTAACATACAAGGGTAAATTTGAAAATGTCACTCGAATAGTTCCCCTTTTTAAGGATAGATGGCGCAGTTTACGTTTTACAATATTTGTCGGTAACAAGTCAGTGTTTATAACCTCAAAAGTGATTCAATTCTGTTAATTTTATGTGTCCGTTATAGAGCTGTCAGTGTACTTCCGTGATTGTGAATATACTTTATCGTGTAAATCAGCAGAATGTGGTATTTGATTGGTTCCGAAGGTAGAATCCTTTTTTATTAAGCTAACTAATAAGTAAATCGTAAATTATTTATTGCGTTGTTAGTGATATTTACACTTAAAATTCCAGGGAATCGCGTATACTTGCATCCAAACAAAGAACTGACATTCGGTAGAAAGAAAGCTGATATTCTTCTTATAAATGATGAATCTGTTAGTAGATTACATGCTGCTATTTCCGTGGAACCTAGAGATGTCATTAAGGTATGTATAAAAAATACAGAGATATATGGCCTGAGTCTAAGAAGATTACTACAAAATAAATCTTTGTTTTTGCAGTTGGGAGAGTCTACATCGATATGTAAACTGAAAGACATCAACTCAAAGTATGGTACATATATTATTTTAGGAGAAGAAGAAAAAGTAGAAGTATCTAAGGAATGGTATACTTTGAAGGACCAAGATAAAATACGATTTGGCTTGCAGAATCATATATTTACGTAAGTCTACAAGTTTATATTCTCTACTATTACAATTTATAAAATTTTTTATTTGTTATATACATTTTAGTCTTGTGTATGTTCCTATAATAACTGTTGTATCTACCTTAAATGATCATGATAAGGAAGCACTACAAAATTTGATTGATAAAATTGATGGGATGATCTCTACAGATTGGACATCTGCTTGCACTCATTTGACAGTGTCAAAAGCTACATTAACTGAAAAGGTTTTTCATTGATCATTCTTTATATCTTATGTTATATTGCAAACTACATGGATTTCGTAGCAATGTTAGCTGTGCAGTGTTGTGTTGCCACAAGTAATCTAATAAAATTAAAAATATATTATAATACCCTAATTAAGAAATTAATTGAGAAATTGGGGGGGGGGGTGTAAGTTTAATTCAGATGTCTGTTAAATCTAAATGTCTACTGGGAACTATATACAAAACTTTCAAAAAGTAACAAACCCACCACTCATCTCAGAATCTTTGCATTATTGGACAAAATGGCTTACACAAATTTTCAGATTCAAAACGTCTTATTTTTCTGCAACTTCATTAATTTGACCTTGCTCTTGACCTTGAAGGTCATTCGAAGGTTAACTTTAATTTTTCTAAGGGGAACCCTTATTTTTGAGACCAGGGTCGGAAAGAGCGGGAAATTTTACGTTCCAGATTATCTCGATGATTATGATCAAGATTACGAATGTGTCCCGGTCTAAGTCGTACAATATTTGTTTGACACATTGTAACAATTCCGTGTTCATAACATTATACTCTTTACAGATTCATTTTATCCCTAAAATTTTTATCCGAATCTTGTCCGTCAATCGCCATCGTCAGTTACACCTAAAATGTCAAGGTATCCGAACGTCAAGTTTTCACCTCTTCCCGAATCCAATGTCACGAATAGGGGTGTCCAGTTGAAACAAATTTAGTTGACCTCGGAATGACCTCTAGGGCTCGCGGTGATCCCCAAAACGAAACCATATCTGAACGTAAAATTTCCCGCTCTTTCTAAGTCTGTGTTAAAGAATAAGTGTTTCTATTTGAAAAATGAAATTCGACCTCCGAATGATCTTCAAGGTGAAATATTCGAGGATTAAAGTTTCGAAAGGTCTGTATGTATCGCATAGGGAGTTGTAGAGAACTACTGTATTAGTACTAGAACACTTGCATCAACATAGTGATACAGCGTTATATATTGTGCATGCGAGAGTATGAGAATACGCCTATGATTGCACGTTTCACACATCTAATTTATTTGAATATAATTCAGGTTACTTGGGCTATGGCATCTGCCGTACCAATAGTAAACCTAGATTATTGGGAAAAAGTGAAAGATGCCTTTTATAATGCAAAAGAACTTCCAGAGTCGAAAGATTTTGTTCCCGCGCTCAGCGAATCATTTATTATCAAAGGAAAAGTATCGCTCTGTCCAAATAAAAAACGGAAGACACTGTTTCAAAATTTAATATTCGTATATTTTAGTGCGCATCAATATAAAATATATGGTAGAATGGTTAATATGGCAGGTAAATAACAAATAATCGAGGTTATCGTATTGCATTTCATTATTTTTTATAATAAACATATTTAAGGTGGTAAATCGCTTCTATATTTAAAAAAGCCTATAACTAATAAGGGACTCTGTGCATCAAATGTTGTTGTATTGCAATATTCTAATAACGCGGCAACACAGTCAACGCAATCTATCGTGTCCGAATACGATTCGATATGTGAGTGTTATTATATTTAATTATTATAAGCACAACACACATATTATTTCACGCATTCAGTTAAATTTATTTCCCAGATAATATATTACGAGCAAATAAACGTAGAATGATATCGGAATCTGAAATTCCTCTTGCAATTTTATATTGTTCTGTGGACAAATATTGCAATCCGAAATTCAAGTTTGAAGAATTCCTAAAACGGAAAGAATCGAAACCAGATACATCTGAAGTCTTAGCTCTTGATACACAGGATGTGATACAATTACCGAAAGTAATTTCCAACGTTCCAGGAAATATAAATATAGTCGTGAAAAAACCTAAACAGACTTTTGAAGTTATTCCTGAATCATACGATAGTAACAGTGACATATTAAACATTGATAGTGCTTATCAGTTAAAAGATAGTCTCGAATCTAACGCATCAAAAGAAACGCAACAAACGCGAGATGATCTTAACAGTACCGTGTTAGGCACGGAAAAAAGGGTACCAAGTATCGAAATAATAGATGATTCGTCCGTGCCGGATGTTACACTAGAGGCCACGCAATGTTCTTCACAAAAATGTTTGAGTTCGCGGGAACGAAATTTTGAATCTTCCAAGTTGTCAACAGTTGCTAATAAAGCAACTCCTTTTCATAATACGAATGTTACACGAAAGGTCACGCAATGTTTTTCAAAGGAAAGCTTGAGTTTGGAGAAACGAAATTCTAGAGTTTCCAAGGTCTCAACAGTTGCTAATAAAGGAACTCCATCCAACGAAGTAATAGATTTAACTGAAGATAATAATATCGAATCGAGAGGTAAACAATTAAATAAGAACAAATGCAATGAAAATTTAAGTACAGTTTTGACACAAGAAAAACTCAATGAACTGTTAAATAAAACGAATGTAAGAGACGATAATCCAGAAGTAACACTTTTACCTCTGAAAGATTGTAAAAAATCTTCGCCAACGGTAGAAAAGCGAACAAGTTCAGAGAAAAGAAAGAACCATTTTCACAATACCGAGAGCGAGGAAGAACATATTCCTGTCAGAAAAAGAACTAGTACCGAAAACTCAGACGTGGAACATAGGATAAAATTATCGCACACTGTAAGATTATTATTTTACCTGTTGTTATACAATTGAATAATTTTTATTTCAATTTTCTAGAATGGAAACAGCAGTTCTACCAAGTTACCGACTTACTCTTCATTTTTTATTCGATCTAATCCTACTTGCAAACGGTTTAAAAAGGTATGTTATAACACATGTAAACAATGTCGCGAAACGAATTTTTGTTTTTATTTATTTATTTATTTATTTTTCTAATTGTATCTTGTCAACTTACAGTTTCACAATGTAATTCCTAAGCGAAGGATAACTCTAAACGACATGTATGTCTGGAATCGACAGAGTGTATAAAATTTGTAAACATATTATAATTTTATTTTGTCCAATGTATAAAGTATTATTTTAAGTATTAGATATTTAAAATTTGTTTAAAGTTTTGTATAAATATTTCTATGAATAAATAAGTACTCAACGATGGTACGATACTAAGACTGACCCCCTTGTTTAATATACTTTAAGGCCATTGAAGTCGGTGATGTCAATACTATTTTTGAAACTTATCGTATTTACCTCTGTTTGTATAATATAACTTCTATAATAAGCATAAAACTAAAATGTTATAACAGTTATTCGTATAATCCGCTTCTATAATTGACTAAATATTACATGCCTACCTTTTAAGTATTTTTATCGAATTAGTATACTAACTTACATTGAACTTTCATCACATATTTGCGGCAATAATATAAAATCATAAAATACGTTCCTGTAATACTGAAAGTGTTCTTTTGAGGTTGATCCAGGTACGTCAATTACGACCGATACTTTCAAATTAAAAAAACGAAAGATTTAATCGGCTTCTTCTCCTCTCGTCATAGTAGCAAGTAAATCGGCTAGCGCCCTCAGCCTTTCGTTATCTGCGCTGTTGCCTTCAAACATGTTCAAATTTTGGGTACCTGAACGGTTATGTACGTTTACCGTGTTAATAAGAAAACCAGTTTCGTATAATACGTTCTTCATGAAAATATTAAAAGACGAAGTTAACGACTGTTTAGAATCGTTATATTGAGCCGTACAAAATTGTAAATATTGTTGAGCATCCTCCCATTTTGTCTTCCAATTTTGGAAGAACTTTTCGTTCGAAAATACCGTCGCGACACACGACGTACCATCCGCCGACGTTCTCAACACTCCAAACTTATAACCATCCTTGTCCGCGTAAGTTCGAATTCTGTTCTTTCCATTCTGATCGTATACATCTCTAAAGAGATTCTTGTCTTGAAATAGATCCTTTGGTATATCATCGAGGTACACGTTCATCGTAACATTCTTGCCGAACTTGGCTCCATGTTTCCTATAGTGGTAAGTAGCCAACAACTCGTCGTTGAATTTGATATTGGCATTGCTCATGATATTCTTGGCTGTTTCACAGTCTTTCGTAACACCAGCCATGAATTGTCGTCTTGTCTCAGGATTCCATTGCAAGTCCGCCAAGAATGATCGAAACTCTGATCTGGTTCTATCTAGAAAAAAGAAAGGGGTACACATGATACTGAAGTCTTTATAGACATACATCTCTGCTCACAAGTATGTGGACACTTTCTTGATTTGAATAAGTATCTTAAAATTTACGAATCTATTAATAAATATTACATATGTTTTTGTATCTAGTTTGTGTTGCATTAGAGAATGTATTTAATCATTAGTTTATTTATTGTCTCACTAATAACATTAAAAAACAATTAATTTTGACACTGTAGGTAATAATTTCTTTATTCGTATTCAAAGTAATAGTATTCCATTTATTTTTTAATATTTCGACATAAATGTTTCTCAAATGCTGACAATTTCTTCCAAACTTTTATCTCTAAATTTAGCAACCAAACATTTTAAAATAATAATCCACGGAGTATATTAAATATTCATTGAAAATAGTAAACGTCCACATATTTATGGATAGGAGGTGTACGTGAGATGCAAGCCTATCGCCTTTTCGATCTTACTTTTACTTTCCAATGCGATTAATTTGATGTGAGCACCGAATTCGTGAATAGTTTTGCAGTTACTGTTTTCCACGACAGCGATCGCGGCGTTCACAATATTTTTGTCGTAATTCCTCGCGGTATCGGCGAGCACTGTCTTTATCCGGTCCAAATCGGAGCCAGTTAACCTTGAAAACATCTTCACATTGTTTATTTTAACGTTTTTCAAATCTTTCCACTCGAGTTCAAATAATTCGGTCATCTTCTGCAAGGTTTCTCTACGCCTGGTTTTCAAAGCTATACGCTCCTCGCTCATAAATTGATTGCAATGCTTTCTATATTCGTCTGGTTGTGTGTGTGTTTTTTTTTTTGCGGCGTTCACCAATTTCTTTGCCGTCTGTGGATTTAATTGGCTAAACCTGCATTATTATTTAAAACAGAAAAGGATAAGGAGAAAAATGTGTAGCAACAGGAAGAAAACAAAAAGCGATTCGCATACTCACCTATTAGGGTTTATCTTTAGTTGGTCGTTAATAGTAACGTCTCTCCCACTCTTTCCCCTTACTTTGATAGAGGACTTGGTCCCGACATTTTTGAAAAATTGGTTAGGGTTGTTAATGTTGTTTATCGTCTTGGCTATTTTCGCGCCCTTCGAGATGTTCTTATGATTCTTGCGGATGAATTTATCGAAGGTTTTCTGGGCTTCGGCGTCGGTCATCTGCGTCCTGTACTGTTTGAAGTAATCGCTTTGAGCTTCGTTAATGATCGCGCTGGCTGTCTTCGGTTCAATCAGTGTGTTCGTGAAGAAGAACACAGAGATGGAGAAATGCAAGATATCCATTTTCCCTAGTGTATTGTTTTCGTATTTCTTGTACAGATTTACAAATCCGATTATTAACATGGAGGAATCCAAAGCGACCGACGTAACGTTTAAGAAAGTTGCGCCGAGCATTTGCAATGACGTGAAAGTGCGCCCTGCCCGCGCACCAACTGTTAAAGTGGTGTTTACTGCGGTTTTTCCCGCGTGTAAAGGTAACATTAGAATGCTCAATCCGCACATTACGGATTCCAAATCGGCCAGACTCTGGTTGTGAGTACCTTTGTCTATCAAAACATAGGCGCTCCTACCGGCACCGTATAACGCGCTCGTGGTACCAGCTACTCCCGCGTACATAATCATAGCTGGTGCTAAGGGTGTAAATAAAGAGACCACCCCAACGCTTGCGGCGACAAGTCCGGTGATCCCGATACCAGTGTCCATCAGTCTTCCTACGTGCGACAACAGATTGCAAGCCGGTGATGTTCCGAAACTCACGTCTGGCTCGCATTCGGGATCGTATTTGTAATCATTAGATCCGGAACACGTGTAAAAGCCATTCTGTGGGAAACAATACTTCATCATCGGAAGTTGGTTATTATTTTGCCAATCACTCCACGATTTGTACACGCGCTGATACGTATCGACGTAGTAACAGTCCTCTTCTATTATTTTTACACGAAATATAGGAACGTAAAATTCATTATCGGCAGTCTTGCAATGCACGAAAATTATACCGACGTTCAGTTTCCCCGAACACGTGTACGTATTGTAAACCTCCACGATCGTGTTTTTGATCTGATCGGCTCTGTCACGTTGTTCTTTACTATAAGTGTCTTCGATTTTCTCGGCATTATTGTTCTCGTCGTTCGGTTGCCCGAACAATGCGTAACAAATTTTTACACGTAAAAGATTGTACTGACTTGACTCGTAGATATCCCACTGATTACCTTCGAAGGCTCTGTAGAAATATCCGTGAATCTCGCGTGCCCTCTTCTTCCATTCCTGTACCTCCGGTTCATCCCACGAAGATGAATACTCTCCATTCAGAGTGTTGTACGTTTCCCCCATTTTCGCACAATCCTGGAAGTGTTACATTTACTTTTATTTAAGGATAAACATGAAAGGAAAATGGTTCTGCAGTTTTGTCTTAGAGAATATGGATTTGAAGAATAAAATACCTTAAACCAACATTTTAAGAAGCTAACAAGGTGAAACTGCAAAATAAAGGATACCGCCTCAATGACCAATGAATTTTTTTTATTAACTTAACCGTCGCTCACTGCTTATTAAAAAGTTATTAAGCAAAAAAGTTTGTAAAAATTAGGAACGAAATGTTCATTAAAATTCAATTACAAGCGAATATTATTGATGTGTTAGGTTAGGTGTGGGTTAGAAATTGCAATCTTAAATACATAAACGACTAGGATTCATTTTTTATAAAATTTAATTTTTTTATAAAACAATACATGATTATAAGTAAACGTCCTTCGAATTTATTTCTTTTGTAACATATTAAACAAGAAAATATCTATTTAATCTAAAAAATATAAATCACACAAGGAGACCATTTTAGTACTAACAATCAAATTATTATTGTACAATTCTCACTTTGAGAATTAATATCGTACAATACATAGATAAATACGAATCGTAAGTACTTATGTTGGTATAATGGGTGGAGCCGTCATTTATCAGTATCGTTTAGGGTATTATAAACTCTCCAACCAGTCCTGCCACCCGCGAGAATGAATAGTGTTGTGTTTCTCATTCTGTGATTTACATGTTTTTTAAAACTCTGGTGGCTTGAGCGACGAGATGATTACCAATTAGAAGCAAGACCTTGTGAAAAAGCTACCCCATTAGTAGAATGCAGAACGTACATAGAAGTATAATTGGATTTGTTTTTTGTTATCACGTTTGTTACACGAATTCGAGCTATATTACTAGAATACTGTACTTACAAAGCGACACAAGACTTGTTAGCAGCACACGCTCGTTAATCGGATCGTAGAATCGTTGCTGGAAGATCGTACTTCTGGACAAAGTACCGATGTAATGCGCACTTTGATATTAAAGCAACCGGCCAACCACTCCCAGAGGAGCCTATCGTTTACATAGCGTTAAAGTTGTACTTTCCTACTCTTTGAACTAATTGCAAGTTCGACGTAGAAAGATGGACGCCGTCTCAACGCTTCTAAGAATTTATATAACGCTTGGACTCCTCCTTTAGTCCGAATCACGCGATACACGCGATACACGCGATTCGCAAAACACACTTTATTAAAAACTATAACTCAGGAATAGAAATATGCATATACTATAGGCAACTTTCACGTTTTGTTCCGACGACGACGATTTACAAGATGCCAAGTTCTGGCACCATATGCATAAACTGCTTTTATGCATGTATGCATTCCAGATATCAATTTGTGATATGACGTCAAAATTGACAGCAGCATAGTAATCTGATAGAGTAAAAGCGGGTCTCATGTGGAACCCCCTTGGCTGTTCTAAAAAATGGTTTAAACAATTGTTGAAAAATGAATAAAGAAGCTAATGAAGGATATTTAAAATAAATGTTGAAACAGAACATCAATATTATGTACTTTTTAAAGTCTTAAATAATTACATTATAACCAAAAGTCAGTGAGATAAAGCACTGCTTGATAAACCGCAGATATTTATTCATTTATGCAAAGTCAAAATATTGGAATATGTATGGGAATGCGTCTAAGTGCAAAAATATATTAAGTTTTGACGCCGCGGCCCACAGGTTTCAATGCCATGCCTTTCTTTGCGCAACGCTCGCGACTAAGCGCGACTAGTACTCATGTCGGCCCCTAGGTGCCGTCTCGTTCTCGAACACTGGGGCACGAGCTCGAGGCTATACCTTGGGGTCACCGGTTAATTATGGTAACGGCCGATACGTGCCGTCGCGCTCTCGTCAAGGAGTGCGACGGCCGCGATCATAACCAAGACTTGCGGAGCTTTGAATCGACAGAAGATCTTGACCAATCTTCGAATTTGGTTTCTTCACGACTGTGACGTCATGTAACGTTGCCCGTTTTCTTCGACATGTTGATTCCTTTACATGTTGTGTAAGTATGCAGGTAAGTCTTGACAATTTTTTTGTCATGCATGGGATTCGCGTAAACCTTGGTACGCTTGGGTCAACTAGCGAATATTGGTGGTAGATTCGTCCATCGGCCACTGTAAAGGTTCGAATCGGTAAGACCTACGTAAGTCGATCCGAGCGCTTCCTGTTTCCGGTCTTATCTCCCGCATAACTCCGCTCCGGTAACTGATATCGACCGTTGGAAATAGTTCGCTGCGTATCTTAAATAATCAGATTATAATTAGGATGACTACGAAATACTATACGAATAACTAATGAACTACGAAACAGTTTTTTTGGAAAATTTGTAAAAAAAAATTCTTCCCTGCACATCGTTTGAATAAAAGAATAAATATCCTCCGATACCACTGGCAGCGTTCATTTACAAACCCGACCTAAGTCGGCAAAGAATCAAAAAATTCTCCAACTCACCATCTAGTAACCTTACTCTGCTTGCAGCACTATAGTTAGATGCGTGAAAATTCCTAGTAACAGGGAATATTAGATTTTGAAGTTGAAGTTTGCCGATATATTTGTCTCGTTTCCTCTTTTAATAATTAACGTAAATGCAACAACCGTCTAGCGATAACTCGATTAAATTAATTTAAAAACTTATGTCAATGCAAAGTTTGTAGCGGAATGGTAAATATGCTTGCCCTCTGATGGTAGGATAAGATTTTGTATACCGACATTACAGTATATTCACACAATCCATTTTATTTCATTGCATAATGAACTTATAATTATACTGGATGTGTTGTGATATTAAAATTTAGCTGGAGAAAAATTATTCGACACTTAGCTTTTTCAACGAATAAATTTAAATATACTGGTTACGACATTGAGCGATGGTAAGTCAGAACAATGTATTTTCTTACAAACTTCCTTGTTCCACGGTAGATGGTGTTCTATCATTTATATAAAAAAACGCTTCAAATTTATATTAATGTTCGTTTTATAGACTCACGACCTATATTTCTTTTTTCTTCTTCTGAATTTAGTGTTAAATAAAATAGTTGATTTAAAATTTTGTATGCATCGTAATGTTTTAAAAACTTGTGATTAATAATACAAGGACATTTTAAAAGGAATTATTTTTATTCATGACATAACTAAATTAACATTTTAATTTGAATCTAAATTTATGCATGATGATGACAAGAATCTGTAATCAATAATCATAATTTGAAATTGTAAATTTCAAACCTTAATCAGTAATTTAAAATCAAGAAATAAGTGGTAAGTAACTATGCAGTTTTCGTAAATTTTCGTATATATTGATTAATTCAATGCTATCGTTTATCCGTGGGATTATAAAGCAACGTGAATTTCGCGAAAAAAATGCAATCAGCGGAGAGATCGGTGCAATTGTGTTAATTGGAATGCAATATTTGCAAACTCATCTTCTTTGACGCTAACATTGTGTGTCAAAGTTGTTCCGTATTGTGTTTTATATCAAAGAAGAATCGATAATACTTTCTGAAGTTTCAATCAGAGTTATCTTTCACGATAAGAATGTCATTTAAACCAAAGACTTTATCTTACTGTATATTAGCGACGATTTCACAACAAGTTCGATCGATTTATTTTCTAATCGCGGTGTATCATCAAACTCGATGAACCGGTACTCGTCCCTATTGTATAAAGTGTTGAAAGCAATTTAGTACAAAGTAAATAAAGCGTGGACACTGAGTGTCCACAGATACGATATGATATATAAAGCTTGGAGTTTGTCGGAGAGCGCACAGATTTCAGTGAAAGTAGCCATCATGCGTGTCCTCCTGATCGCGACAATTTGCGTCGCCGCTGTCTTCGCGGCCGACGAGGAAGTGCTGCCACCCTTAGAGGGGTACGTTATTTTTTTCATTCGCAATGTTTCCCTTAAATTAATCATAGTATCATGATTAGTGTCCGGTTCGTTAGGCGATGTTACAACACACATTGTATGAAATATTAATTATATTATTTGAATGTATTTTCATATAATAATTTTATCGAAATATATTTAATTTTTATATTGATTATATCTCTAATGATATTTTTTAATTATATATGCATATCTGTATATATTTCTATAGAATTAAAAAAATATCAATCATAATGTACTATGATAATAAATATAAATTAAACACAATACAATAGTATGTAATATTATTTATATTAAAATTATTAACTATTGTAATGTGCACTAATCACTAGAATAAGTATAATAATACTCATTTCAAAAGTCAGTTAAGATTTATAATAATAGTATTTTATATATATTACATTATTTATATATATTACATGATATATGTATATGATCTGTCATTGATATAATTTTTTACTTTGATTAACGTCCCCTTTCAAGGAAAATGATCTACTTGAATACCGTGTGCAGTATCAACAAGTCAATTTTACTAGTTTCGATTAAAACTAATAAATTGATTTATCTACTCTAAAGAACTTAATAGACTAACTCAATTATAAGATAAGTGTGAGAGATTGGAAAAAGAACATTTAAAGTTTGAGCGAAAGATTATTCCTGTTGTTTCAAACAATACAAATGCTACACATTGTTAGATCGATCAAAGTAGAGGAATTCGAACGGATGTGTTCATATTTATTTAAAACATTTTCAGGATGCAGAGTCTCTCTATTACTTACAACACACCGGAGCAATTAATGGTGCTGAAGAATTATATAGACACCCCTGGCTTTGACTTCATGAAGGTAACCGACAAGTTTGCCGATGTCCTTGTGACGGCTGACAAAGTGAAAGCGTTCAAAGAACTTCTCGAAGAAAATCGCATGAATTACACCGTTGCGATCGAGAACGTTCAGGATGCAGTCATGGAGGAGTACATCACGCAGCAAGTTGAGCGTAAAGTGCAACAGAGACTTCAAAATTATGCTGCCTCTGGAGGATTATCGTTCACTTATTATCCAACTCTTGCCGAAGTAAGTGTAGAAGTTATTTGCACAATATATACACTTATTTGGCTACGGCGAGCTACAATATTAAATGTTCCTCGAGCGGGGATCTAATCCTTGCGTTATTTCCAAAATTACGCATCCAAGATGACAACAAAGAGTATAACAAAATATTTTAATTATACAAATTATACAAAAATTATAGAAATAATCCAATTATTTTATTTAAATCGTGACGATTAATTATCTCACGAGGGGATGAAGCTATCAAATACATGTTGTTACAAAAGGTATTTGGTTTGAAGGGTCAAATTGTATGCAGTAAATAATTTTATTGTAAGCAAAGTGGTGGGGAGATTTAACAAACAAATGAATTTTTATTTTCGATGGAACCTTGGAATTAAAATTTGTTAAGCAATTAAACGTGAATGGGGTTTCCAGGGAGTAATTCGTTCGAATCGTTCGTAGGTCAATACTTATCTGGAATACATAACAAAAACCCACAGTGACGTGGCCTCGTTAATTAACATAGGCGCATCCTACGAAAAACGGCAGATGAAAGTCCTGAAGCTCTCAACCGGTGGTAAAAATAAACCTGCTATTTTCATTGATGCCGGTATACACGCCAGGGAATGGATTGCTCCAGTGACATCCCTCTACATAATTGACCAGATGGTCACGAGTCAGAACAGATATCTCTTGAAGGACGTCGACTGGTACATCCTTCCGGTCCTGAACCCTGATGGCTACGAGTTCACGCATGCTAAATCAGCGGTAATTATACTTGATTTATAAATCATTCGACAGGTGCACTATTAACCAGTAATTATCGACCACTGGTGATAAAATGAGATTCAGATATTGTCCACTCCGTATTCGCTTCGTGATAACATTTCATTGTTGTTCTGAATCAATAATTCCAAAGATGTAATATTTTCAAAAACATTAGCCTTGTCTAAACAAATATGGTATTATATATTTCCAAATGTGTATTTCAGAATCGTATGTGGAGGAAAACGAGGTCCACGAACACTGGCTCGACATGCCGAGGCGTCGATGGCAACAGGAATTACGACATGGAATGGATGAGTAAGTTATTTACAAAAATAAGCAAAATTCTCATTTAGATAAAAATGACAAATTAACAAATAAAAGGTAAACAACTTTTTGTACGTTTCTGGACTTTGACTTATGGAATGAAATACTTCCAACTAAACAAATCAGAATTTAATCCTTTGATCCGATAAACATCTCGAATAAATCTGATACGTTTCATTCGTTATCTATCATCAAAATAAT